GAAAGTATTAAAGCTTTCTAAACACTAGATAATATGATGATATCGAAAAAAAACATAAAAAAACCAAATTATGGAATTTGCACTGCTAATTTCCCATACTTATTCCTGAGTTTTTTGCAAGCTTGCCTTCTTTTAGAATCTTGTTCCAAAGTAAATAAAAAATTTTCCGCATTTCACTTGCGTTAAGCAAACATTAAAACACTGTACTGACACTTGATCCTCACCAGAACATTTCTGCAGTACACAGTGAAGAACGTTTTTCTCAGAATACAAAGAACTTTTAAAATGTCAAATTTCAAATGGCTATACTTTATGAAATTAAAAGAGAGGTGATAAGTGCTTCAAGTTTCAAAAAAAGTTCTTAAAAACTTATGAAGAACTTTTTACACCAATTACGCTTATTTAATTGGACAGTCTCATCTAAACAAAGGAATAATAATTTAACCTTAGAGAGGAACTAAATTAAAATAAAATTTTAATCTTCAAAGTGTACCTGATTTTGAACCACAAATTCAACGACAAATGACTGTTGCAAAATAGCTGACGTAAGGACTTCCTTTTGAATAGTCAGCTTCACCTTGACTCTTTTCGAATGTGGTTCGGTCCAAATGAAAGACGCGTCGGTAAGCCTTACCTGGAAAGTATAAATATGAATTAAAAAATTCCATGATTAAACTTCTTCCTTACTTCCTAAAAAAAATTAACTGTAATTGGTACTCTATTTATTTCATTGACTTTATCCAGTTGAGTATCTTCACAACAAAAGTTTTGCATCTAAAGCTAATTTCATTTAAAAGCTGAAATCTTTACTTTCGTCATGAATGGTTTGAGTTTTTTCAAGGCAAGCGAAAGCAGTTCTTTAGATTCGGGAGCAGCACGGATCCAAGAGTTGGGTGGCATAAAATAGCGTTCACAGAACTTACAAAACGTCAACTGACCTATAATGAGGTCCGCAACCAATTCCCCATGCAAAAAAAAACTTTTAGCACAAGGATGAATTGTATAAACTAAAGTACTTCATTATGGCTTATCAAATAGTAAATAAAATTCCTTCCGGTAAATCAGTTGAGAAGCAAAAATTGGAGGAAGAAAAGTGCAAAAATTTTGATAAGTTAAATTTCAATAGAAGAAATAATTAAAAGTAGACTGAACATAAAGGCTTCCTTTCTCTCTCTCAAAAAAAAAAAAATAAATAAATAAATAAATAAAAATAAAATAATAAGCAAATAGAAAAATAAAAAGAATAAAAAATGAAAATAAAATAAAGTAGAGAAGAATTATACACTTTGTTTTGGAATTCCTTCAGTTATGTCCACTCGAGCTCGCACGCATGCAGCACACATGTTTGCTGCATTAGGCTCAATAGCTGTCCCGCAGTCGCAACATAGGACCAAACCAGCACCAGACGGCTGGTAGTCTAACGTTTCCATCTTCAGTGAAATTCGAGAAATAAATTACCCTTTTCAACCTTAAACACGACCAGGCTTAGCTACGTAATTTTTAATGCATTTTAAAAATTCACGGTTCTTCTTAAAAATTTTTATACCAGAGCATCAATGCATGGGACTTTTTAGGTAAACGAAGAAGATTAAGAATAGAGTTTTTCTGATACCACAATCACACTCAGTTCATCACTAAATATAGGTAATAATTTGTAAACTGTTTAGCTAGAAAATATAAATTCTTTGAATTCCCGACACTTTAAAGAAACACTTAGACAAGCGGCCCAAAGGATCACTGTTCCAAGCCCGTTAGCTTAATAATACCGAAAGCCAAACTTATTTTCTAAAATCAATCGTTAGCACTCGGAACTCATTATTGAAGGTGAACCTTCATTTTTTCATTGGAACGTCCCAAGAATTCCTTTTTTGCAACACCTCTTTTAGCTCATAACAGTTAAGTCGGGTTCAGCAATTACTGATGAGAAACGTTCAGTAAGGAAACATGTATAGCGCCTGAACGCTGATATATATATATATATATATATATATATATATAT